AGGGACCTTAGACCGTTGCAGCGATGGTATGTCCCTCTGCATCCCCACATCCTATAGACGGTGTATAGAACATGATGACTCAGGGACCTTAGACCGTTCCAGCGATGGTTTGTCCCTAGGCGTCCTCACATCCTATATACTGTGTATAGAACATGATTACTCAGGGACCTTAGACCATTGCAGCAATGGTGTGTCCTTCTGTGTCCTCACGTCCTATATACTGTGTATAGAACATGACCACTCAGGGACCTTAGGCCATTGCAGCGATGGTTTGTATCTAGGTGTCCTCACATTCTATATACTGTGTATAGAACATGACGACTCAGGGACCTTAGACCGTTGCAGCGATGGTTTATCCCTAGGTGTCCTCACATTCTATATACTGTGTATAGAACATGATGACTCAGGGACCTTAGACTGCTGCAGCTGTGGTGAAGCAAGGAATAACGGATCGGTCTAAAATCAAACCAGTTTAGGGGATCAGAATTCTGAATAACTTTTTTATTTTCCTCCTTAGACCAAAACAAGCCGTTAACCCTTGCAGTGGAGGGGTAGCCTTGCAGTGGAGGGGCAGCCTTGCAGTGGAGGGGTAGACTTGCAGTGGAAGGGTAGACTTGCAGTGGAGGGGTTGCCCCACTGCAAGGGTTAATACAAATTTTGCCCAGAGTTCTTCTTTAAGAGCCACTGTACATTAGCATCCACCCTGATGCCCCAATATCTAGTGGTAGGCTGTAAGCTACAGGCAGGGGCAGGATAGTCCTTGGACTGGCCGTCATTAACTGTTTGCTGAATCCGTTACCCCATATATAAGTCAATATTAATTAGAAGACATTTTAGGAGCCACTCATGCAATATTCTAAGTTCAGTTTCAGAAACGTGTTTTCCCCAACGTGCCCCTCAGAACAGTCCACAGTACTCAGCGTTATCATCATTCAATGTTCAGTGACAGACACAGGTAGAAGCAGTGTTCGGAGTCAGCTGAGGCCTCCCATATAAACACTTACAATCAAATCACTTTCTCTGCTGTACTGCACGCCTCAGTGTAACAGATCTGTAATATATCCTCCTTCCCCGACCTGGACTGCGGCCAAGAACACCAGAATACCAGCAACGTGCTGCCACCATCCCTCCCCAGAGAAGGCTACATGAATGCATCTCACTAGCCCAGGAGTCTAGAATGAAAGGCAGTTTGTAAATACAAAATAGTCGCTGTCTTGTAGGAAAGATTCGGAATATTTCCCTAGAATACAATGTACATGTATGTAACCTTAGAAGACACAATCCTCCTTCTTCAACCCAAACTGCAATATCTCATCTACTGGAGCAATTGAAACACTGGGGGGAAGGGACCAAAACTGGAGCAGACGCCCAGAGTAACCAATCAGCTTCTCTTTTTCATTTTCAAAGCTTAACTGAACAAACTGAAGAGAGAAGCTGACTGGTTGCTATAGGTAACTGCTCCTGAATGTATCTGCTCCAGCTTTTATGAATTCCATAAAAGCTGTTATAGGGGGAGGTGTTCTGTAGTTTACAGAGTTAACCATGCCTGGGCTGGATAGAGTCAGCTCACTACAGGAACGTACAAGCTCACTGGATCTCTGGCAGGATAAACAGGGTCAAAATTATTGAGCAGATAAAACATATCACATTGTACGGTATATTTATCAGACCAAGAAGTAACAACCTAGAGAAGTTCACTGGCCCAGTGCCTGTGGCACCACACAACACTGCTCTACTACCAGGAGCACCATCTAGTCCATCTCCCTGGAGCACTGCCAGTCTCACCATCCCGTCCTATCTCCCAAGAGCACTGCCAGTCTCACCATCCTGTCCATCTCCCAGGAACACTGCCAGTCTCACCATCCAGTCCATCTCACAGGAGCACTGCCAGTCTCACCATCCAGTCCCATCTCACAGGAACACTACCAGTCTCACCATCCCGTCCATCTCCCAGGAACACTGCCAGTCTCACCATCCCGTCCATCTGCCAGGAACACTGCCAGTCTCACCATCCAGTCCATCTCCCAGGAACACTGCCAGTCTCACCATCCCGTCCATCTGCCAGGAACACTGCCAGTCTCACCATCCTGTCCATCTCCCAGGAACACTGCCAGTATCACCATCCCGTCCTATCTCCCAATAGCACTGCCAGTCTCACCATCCTGTCCATCTCCCAGGAACACTGCCAGTCTCCCCATCCCGTCCATCTCTCAGGAACGCTGCCAGTCTCACCATCCAGTCCATCTCCCAGGAACCCTGCCAGTCTCACCATCCTGTCCATCTCCCAGGAACCCTGCCAGTCTCACCATCCTGTCCATCTCCCAGGAACCCTGCCAGTCTCACCATCCTGTCCATCTCCCAGGAACCCTGCCAGTCTCACCATCCTGTCCATCTCCCAGGAACCCTGCCAGTCTCACCATCCTGTCCATCTCCCAGGAACCCTGCCAGTCTCACCATCCTGTCCATCTCCCAGGAACCCTGCCAGTCTCACCATCCTGTCCATCTCCCAGGAACCCTGCCAGTCTCACCATCCTGTCCATCTCCCAGGAACCCTGCCAGTCTCACCATCCTGTCCATCTCCCAGGAACCCTGCCAGTCTCACCATCCTGTCCATCTCCCAGGAACCCTGCCAGTCTCACCATCCTGTCCATCTCCCAGGAACCCTGCCAGTCTCACCATCCTGTCCATCTCCCAGGAACCCTGCCAGTCTCACCATCCTGTCCATCTCCCAGGAACCCTGCCAGTCTCACCATCCTGTCCATCTCCCAGGAACCCTGCCAGTCTCACCATCCTGTCCATCTCCCAGGAACCCTGCCAGTCTCACCATCCTGTCCATCTCCCAGGAACCCTGCCAGTCTCACCATCCTGTCCATCTCCCAGGAACCCTGCCAGTCTCACCATCCTGTCCATCTCCCAGGAACCCTGCCAGTCTCACCATCCTGTCCATCTCCCAGGAACCCTGCCAGTCTCACCATCCTGTCCATCTCCCAGGAACCCTGCCAGTCTCACCATCCTGTCCATCTCCCAGGAACCCTGCCAGTCTCACCATCCTGTCCATCTCCCAGGAACCCTGCCAGTCTCACCATCCTGTCCATCTCCCAGGAACCCTGCCAGTCTCACCATCCTGTCCATCTCCCAGGAACCCTGCCAGTCTCACCATCCTGTCCATCTCCCAGGAACCCTGCCAGTCTCACCATCCTGTCCATCTCCCAGGAACCCTGCCAGTCTCACCATCCTGTCCATCTCCCAGGAACACTGCCAGTCTCACCATCCAGTCAAACAGAGGAAGTGTCCCATAGCACTGGCAGTCCATTCCATCACACGGAGGAAGACTCAGTGCCCCAATCGTGCAACCTTGGCAGCTGTATCCCATTGGCGGAAGCATTGCCAGCCTCCCATCCAGAAGCAGGGCCGGTCTCAACCTCCAGAAGCAGCACCAGCCTCCCCATCCAGGAGCAGCGCCAGCCTCCCCATCCAGGAGCAGCGCCAGCCTCCCCATCCAGGAGAAGCGCCAGCCTCCCCATCCAGGAGAAGCGCCAGCCTCCCCATCCAGGAGAAGCTCCAGCCTCCCCATCCAGGAGAAGAGCCAGCCTCCCCATCCAGGAGAAGCGCCAGCCTCCCAATCCAGGTGAAGTGCCAGCCTCCCAATCCAGGAGAAGGGCCAGCCTCCCCATCCAGGAGAAGCGCCAGCCTCCCCATCCAGAAGTAGCGCCAGCCTCCCCATCCAGAAGTAGCGCCAGCCTCCCCATCCAGAAACAGCGCAAGCCTCTCCATCCAAAGCAGTGCCAGTCTCCCCATCCAGGAACAGTGCCAGCCTCCCATTCAGAATCAGTGCCAACCTCTCATCCAGAAGCAGTGACAGCCTCTCATCCAGAAGCAGTGACAGCCTCTCATCCAGAAGCAGTGACAGCCTCCCATCCAGAAGCAGTGCCAGCCTCCCATCCAGAAGCAGTGCTAGCCTCTCCATCCTGAAGCAGCGGCAGCCTCTCCATCCTGAAGCAGTGTCAGCCTCTCCATCCTGAAGCAGTGTCAGCCTCTCCATCCTGAAGCAGTGCCAGCCTCTCCATCCTGAGGCAGTGCCAGCCTCTCCATCCTGAAGCAGTGCCAGCCTCCCCATCCTGAAGCAGTGATAGCCTGAAGCAGTGCTAGCCTCCCCATCCAGAAGCAGTGCCAGCCTCACCATCCAGATGCAGTGCCAGCCTCCCCATCCAGAAGCAGTGCCAGCCTCCCCATCCTGCTCCTGTAGCTGCCTTAGCCTGTTCCCTGATATAGGGGCAGTGTCATTCTCTAGGCTGTTCCCTCCACTTAGGGTCCTTCCAGAGCCTCCAGCGTGACACCTGTTACCTATGCCCACCATCAGCCTCATCCCCGGGTATTGCCATGTCACAGACTGGGGACCTGTCAGCCTCATCCCCGGGTACTGCCATGTCACAGACTGGGGACCTGTCAGCCTCATCCCAAGGTACTGCCATGTCACAGACTGGGGACCTGTTAGCCTCATCCCCAGGTACTGCCATGTCACAGACTGCGGACCTGTCAGCCTCATCCCCAGGTACTGCCATGTCACAGACTGTGGACCTGTCAGCCTCATCCCCAAGTACTGTCATGTCACAGGTTGGGGACTTGTCAGCCTCATCCCCGAGAACTGTCATGTCACAGGTTGGGGACTTGTCAGCCTCATCCCCGAGTACTGTCATGTCACAGGTTGGGGACCTTTCAGCCTCATCCCCGGGTACTGCCATGTCACAGGTTGGGGACCTGTAAACCTCATCCGCAGGCATTGTCAGGTCATGGGTTAGGAGCCTGTCAGCCTCATCCCCGGGCACTGGCATGTCAAAGGATGGGAAGCTGTCAGCCTCATCCCCGGGCGCTGGCATGTCTCAGGATGAGAAGCTGTCAGTCGGAACCCCGGGCACTATCAGCCTCATCCCCGGGCACTGTCAGCCTCATCCCCGGGCACTGTCATGTCACAGGCACTATCAGCCGTTCGGGGTACTCACTTGTGGCAGAAGGCTGAGATCCGGGGATCGGAGGGATGCTGACAGATGGAGGAGCCGGGTTCTCCGGCACCCTGGTGGGCGGGTCACTTGGAGGAGCACTCCCCTAGGCTCCCCGGAGTGTGGGTGGAGGAGAGGGCGGCAGAGAGCTCTTCTGCCCACAATTCACAGCGTTACTATAAAACTGGGAGACCCGTGATGACAGCGAGAGGAGCTGAGCAGCTGCTTGTCGGCCTGGAAAAGTATGGTGCCACCTTGTGGACAGCGCCCTCCACTGCAGCGCTCAGGAAGCGGCTGGATGTAGAAGAGGGAGGGAGGCCTGTGTGTGCACAGAGCCCGGGAGAGAGCAGCCTGGACTGTGCGTGGAGCTCTATGAGATCTGATAGCTGTCTATATGTCATCTCTGATGGAGCTCTATGAGATCTCATAGCTGTCTATATGTCATCTCTGATGGAGCTCTATGAGATCTCATAGCTGTCTATATGTCATCTCTGATGGAGCTCTATGAGAGATCATAGCTGTCTATATGTCATCTCTGATGGAGCACTATGAGAGATCATAGCTGTCTATACGATATCTCTGATGGAGCACTATGAGAGATCATAGCTGTCTATATGTCATCTCTGATGGAGCTCTATGAGAGATCATAGTTGTCTATATGTCATCTCTGATGGAGCTCTATGAGAGATCATAGCTGTCTAGATGTCATCTCTGATGGAGCTCTATGGGAGATCATAACTGCTGTGCCCAGGAAGGACAGTGTGTAGCTGCCTGTACATCTCTATGGCAGGGCACGTGGCTGCACACAGCTACACGCTAACCTGAACCTGCACATTGGGTGAGTATAACATTTTTTTAGCACCTAGAGAAAAATGAGCATTTAACCCTTGCAGTGCACGGGTAGTCCCATTGCAAATGTTAAGAACACTTTTGCCCGGAGTTCTTCTTTAAATTGATGGGTAAAGCTCCTCTTTAATTCAAATTGAAGGAATCTGTGGCTCTGTGGTTAGCAGTTTCAATGTAAACAGTAATTGTGAAAATCACATCTCTGCATTATTTTCGATATTTGAATAAGTGAGTCCAGGTACATATATAAAGAGTGCAATAAACATTTTCAGAAAGCATTAGTATGTTTTACAGCTGTAGCTAATAACTGAGACCTGTGTGTGAGTATTGCTAAATATGAACACTTCATAAAAGCTTTCCTAGCCCAAGACTGCTTACTGACCTCACATATCCAACTACAACCAATGTTTTTCTCTAGTGTTTGGATGGATTGTGGAAGAGTTATAACTGGTCCTCCATTGGGGAGATTTTCCCTGATTTCATGTCTCTGTGGTGCCAGTACAAGAGACTGGGGCATGAGACTGGGGCATCACAGTGACCACTAACAGCAATGAAAACATTGAAAGCACTGACCCTTCCTCACTCTACTAAAAATTTAGTTTTTTATTTTTGTCTATATCCCTGCTGGATAGATTTCTTAACTCTTCCTGTCATGACAGTAAGTAAGGGGAAAGCTTTCAGGCACACAGACAGCAATAAAAATCTGACAGAGGCTCTTAACCTTCCTCGTGCTATCTAAAAATAAACGAAAAGTTTTGGGTGGAGTTGGACTTTAAAACGAACCTGTACCAAGCTATAGACATTCAATTACTTGCAGATTCTTCACAAGCAGTAAACTTAGCATTACAGAGGTGAGTGAGGAAGCCATTAGTGGTCTCCATGGGAAAATTCACCCTCAAAGTTCATTGGAGGAGCAGTTAAGTCATCCAAGTATGCATCTCCGCTCATCTGGCTACATTAGAAGGCTGCCGAGTCACTGCTGGGAGGGCAAGCAGGATGAGCTAAGCTGGGTTTGTCGAGGACCTCTACTGACAATTTTAAGAATGAATTGCTCCAGAGTGCCTACACATGCAATGCAGTGTCAGTAACAGCTTGTTGAGAATATAGAAATTTCTGAATATTTATATTCTGACCACAGTTATAGCAAAACAAGCTGTAGCCTTTTATTGTAAGTTTATTCCAGTTCTTTTAATTATTGGCCTAAAGTAAATGTCATTAACCAAATCGGTGTAAATCTAATGCATTAAATAACAAAGGGTCAACAAATACTGGCTCCGAGATTTCCCCAAACCCATTGTGCAAGACATCACTATGTATTGGAGTTTTTTATTTATTTATTTAATATGAACAGGCATATCTAGTAGCTTCAACCTATGTGAGCATCCAAAACATCGCAGCACCGACTACATGGTTTCCTTTCAGGGAAACAAAAATCCTGCACCCAGGGTGGACATCAAGTAGCACGGATCTCAGAGAGGCGGTTCTCAGCTCTTACAGAGTCCTGTTTATGAGCACTTGTAATATGAGAAAGACAAATACAACCATTTTCATCTGTGGACCAAAAGCAGTGACTGAATTTTTTTAAACCACTTCTCTTTAAACTCTGTATCAGTTGGCATTACGAAAGTGTTCAATGCCTGAGTACTTTTTGTTTCAATATGTCCTTCTTCTTGTATTCTTTCTGCTAAAAGATCTTCACTCATGACCTAAAAAATGATAGAAAAATGTTACAGAGTGCAATTAAAGTTTAACCTGCTTAAATTTTGGTACCTTCCCTTGTCCCTCCCTGTCCCCTCAGCATGCTATTATTTTTAATAAAACCTTTCAGATTTCATTATATGCCATATTTTGGACCCAGTGATGTCATTCATGTGTCTATGTGCTTCCCTATGCTATACAGGCAGTTCATAGCTCATTAGAGGGGCCAGCAGGTTGCCGTACATACAGGTGAAACTCGAATAATTAGAATATCGTGCAAAAGTTAATTTATTTGGCCAGCAAACTCGCCTGACCTGAACCCCATAGAGAATCTATGGCGCATTGCCAAGGGAAAGATGAGAGACATGAGACCGAACAATGCAGAAGAGCTGAAGGCTGCTATTGAAGCATCCTTCCATAACACCTCAGCAGTGCCACAGGCTGATAGCTTCCATGCCACACCACATTGAGGCAGTAATTGCTGCAAAAGGGGCCCAAACCAAGTACTGAGTACATATGCATGCTTATACTTTTCAGAGGTCCGATATTGTTCTATGTACAATCCTTGTTTTATCGATTGCATGTAATATTCTAATTTTCTGAGATTGTGGATTTGGGGTTTTCACGAGCTGTAAACCATAATCATCACAATTATGACAAATCACGGCTTGAACTATCTTGCTTTGCATGTAATGAGTTTATCTCATATATTAGTTTCACCTTTTAAGTTGCATTAGTGAAATAAATGAACTTTGCATGATATTCTAATTATTCGAGTTTCACCTGTAACTTGCTGAAAATATCACAGCACCCTTCCTCAATACTCTTTTCAAGGGCCCTCAGCCCTGATGCAAGCAGAGGGCTGGCTCTCACAAAGAGTTATGCAAATATCAAAATAACCCCGATGAGCAAGTGTTATGGAGGAGTGGGTGTTCCTTGGCAGTTTACATTTGCATGCAGACAGCCTTAGGTAACATCCACATATGATTTGAAATCCCATGAATAAAAGGTGTGGACCAGAAAGAGAAAGGCTAGAGGGGAAAGAGCTAGATGTTGGATCTCCTCCAGCCAGGAAATGAGGTGAGCTCTATCTGTCTAGCTGCGGCTTCTAATGTACACTGGGAGTAAATATTTCAGTACAGGAGAAGAGCCTGCACAAATGTTTAACACTGAGGGTAAGGCTGGTGTTTAGCTTTCAGAGTATATATTTATAGAGTACAAAAAATTGAGCAGAGACTCAAACCTTCGATTGCTAACAGTTATATACTAAAAAAAAAATAACAGGGAATTCAGTTGTGAATGCACATGCTTGTAAACCAGCCTCATGGTGTCACCTATACCATTTATATAGCAGACGGGCTGACAAAATATGGCAACTATTTATTATACAACTGTTATACAATAGGAGGGGTCCTGCTTCATATTACCAATGTATATCCTACCAAACTCCTTACCTGCAAACCCCTTGGCTTCTGCGATGACTGGAATTCAAGAACAGGATGTCGCCAGCACACCGGAGAAATGTGTCCAAACAAACGTCTTTTATTGATACATATTGTCACAAGGATAGCATGCTTGTGACAATATGTGTATGCATCAATAAAAGACATTTGTTTGGACACAATTCTCCAGTGTGCTGGCATCCTGTTCTTGCTTTCATATTACAATACAAGAACTTTACAGTAGTATTACATTTAGAAAAAGATCAGATAGCTCTTTGGTGGCTGGTTTTTCTAACCTACTAAAAAAAGAATGTGTGCACCCAGGTCCGATACTCTAGGAGGGAAGTATATTTTCACAACCAGGGGAGACCGCTATCCATTTACAACAGGAACTAATTAATGTCTTTAAATATGTTTTAAAATGTCTTTTGTAGTCAGATTAGGATGAATTATGTTGTAATAAAGGTGATTTTGTTTTTTTCACCAATCAAGTGTCTGTTGCAGACATTATTGCTGGATTTTTCCTTTCTGCTTTTCTATATAAATTGCTGCTCTAGTTGCCAGCACATGTCTGTTTGTATACAGATCGTATCAGTCTGGAGACTGTGCAGACCTGCTTCCCTGCTGGCTGGTGGAGCCGAGTGTAAAGGCCCATTCAAACCAGTTCTTTGTGGCCACCACATACATTTTGAATTGCCCCAACACACCTTCTCTGCTCCACATTGCAAAAAAAGAAAAAAAATGCCTTCACTTTTATTTTTTTTTTGCTTTGGAGCTGTATTAGAGCCTGGTCATTTTGACTGGACTACCTAACGCAACACGCAACAGTACATGCATGGTTATGCAGTGCCATGGAGTGTGAAGGTGCCCTTAGGGAAAATTGTACAGTATTTTGTACTCAAACACACAGGCCATCTAAGATGGGGTGGTTAAACTGTACAAACTCACTCACATTCGTTATTATAGTTTTGGATTCTTCTGCTAACTCCATCTGATTTAATTGCTCCTCTATATAATTTTGAGTCTTCAAATTCTGGTCCAATGCAAAGGAAGCATGGTGGTGTTGGATAAAATTCAGGAGAAGTCTGAAAGAAGCAAAAAAAGAAATATAACTAATATCATGTACAAAAGTGTCAGGACTGTAATTAAATTATAGTATCCATGCAGCTGTATCTGTCACAATTGATAACCTGTTCTAAATATGGTGATGTTTTTCTTCAGTATTCTACTACTAAAGGACCACTGTATTCAAATGACATGCTAGTTTATATAAAAGAGGTTATAACAATCACTGGTTACTGTAAGAGAATTTCAAACGACAATTAGATAGGAATATATTTAACAACACATTTTGTATAGTGGGGGGGGGGGTGATTTATTTATTTTTAATCACACATTTGACTTCCTGTTCATATTTTGGGAGTACAACTGCATAAACCTTATAAACATCACAGAAGTACCATGGCAAATACCTTCCCCTGCTGCCACCACTCCCCCAGCAACCAGACGGGACTTGCTCTGTATTACAGCAGCAAGTACAGTCACGGCTGTTTAATATAAAGCTTCTAAACAGTGTTCAGAAATACGTCACATCATAAATGTTACATTGCACATACTCCATTTCATTTATCGAATCATTCGCAAAGCAAATTTCTGTTTACTTGGTTGATTGGCACGTGAACTGAATAACTAAAGTGAATATTTAGACAATTTATTTGGTGAAGATTCTCAACTTCTTTGGTAAATCAACTAGGTCAACTTTTTGATGTAAACAGCTACAAATGCATCCATCCCTCCAACCAAATTGTCCTGTTTTTTGTTTTGGGGTTTCTTAATAGATCTTTCTACCCAGCGACTTACACTTATACTGTAGGCAGCGGATTTGCTGTGGCAGCTGACATAATATTTCTTTTCTTGAGACAACAATCACAAAACAGAGAAAGAAGAGCTACTCTATCATTTCATCCAAAAAAATAAAACTATTTAGGGTTCACCTGTTCCAAAACCCAGATTATTATACAAGATTTATATAGCGCCAATAGTTTGCACAGCGCTTTACAATATAAGGAAGACATTACAGTCACAATACAATTTAAGACAAGATGGTAAGGAGGGCCCTGCCCGTGAGGGCTTACAATCTAAAAGGGAGGGGCAAGTGATACATGAGGAGGTAGCTGTGCGGGGGTGATTGTTTGAGATTAGATGTAAGGAGGTAATTTCTGCTAGTGGTTGCACTTTTTTCTTTTTTGGAAAAGTGTTAAACATAAACCCCTAACCTCTAATATATCTGCTACAAAAAAAAAAAAAAGCTTGAAAGTTACCATCATTGGTTCAAAGAACTAAAGCATAATCATTTGCACGAAAATGACCATACAGAGGTAATCTCCAGCTTTCACTTATTCACATGATATCTGTCAGTTAAAGTTTACATGAACTGAAAAAGGGAGGATTTTGTATCTTATACCATCTTGTATTGAATTGTTTCGTCATTTTATTATAATGTCTGCATTTGGAGTGATTTATGGATGTCTCTACTGAGCTATTTACTGTTCTTCATGCTGGAGGTTCTGACATGAGAAACTGAAGCCCTCTCTCTACCAAGATGGCTGCCCTGATATAGACACACACGGTGGAGAACAAGGCATGGTGAATCAGTAATGGGTAAAAGAACAGCAGCGGGGAGTCCACCAGAAGTACTGCCAACTAGTCATTTACTCCCTGTCTGCCTTTTTTTGGGGGACAGCATCCAGAGTTCAGATCCTCTTTAAAGACTGAGGACTTTTTTTCAAATGAAATGTACATAAAAAGCATCAGGCTAGCATATAAAATCATCTTTCCATGAGACAGTGAAACAATACGAACTATCCAACTGTTATGGAGGTTGTGGGGGAACTGAAAGTTCTATTTCATAGGGAAAGATTGGAGGCTGAGCAACAAAGGGACCTGCGGGCCAGACTCTTGTTCCGTAGATGGAAGGATTTTTTTGGTAAAATGTTCAGTGCTCAAGATATTGCTCAACTTATGAGGCCTTTTGCGCATACCACATGGTACCTTACTGCACAGCTCTCAAATGACTTGGGGATCTTGGAAATTCCGTCAGTAAACTAAAAGCATACATATGTCTTTGAATAACGTAAGCAGAATCCTGTAGTCCTTTTAACATAGAGGTTAAGGGTTTACTATAAGTTGGTCCTGGACAATAGGACCTGTTGTATGTTGTTTTGGTTCTTCGTACCTTTTTTACAAATACTTGTATGGACTAAACTTTTGGAAAAAAACAAAACAATTTAATGAAATATGTTTAAAAAAAAACATCTTTCAAAACTGCGACATAATATTTTCTATGTACCTTGCTCTGATGAAAGATGCACATGACCAGATCCAAAGCTGTGCGCTATTCCTGCAGCAGTCTAATATAGACGCAAAGGTGTTATTCTTACTACAATGTCTCTGTATCGTTTTATTATCCCTCAAATTAGAAGTGTCCACAATTCTTAAGGAATCATTTACACACAAATGTTCTCTAACTGAAGGCTCACTGGTATTAACTGATGCATTTGTGCAGTGGGAGGCAGCAGATGATAGACTTCGGTAGGATTCAGCCAGCGATATCCAGAAATGTGGATTGAATGAGTGCAAGGTGACCAACTGCTGCAAATCAGATACCGCATCCTCTAAATTCCCTAAATGGATGTGAATAGTGACTTGGAGATTCAAAGCACCCGTCAAGTGATCGGTGTTGTTAACTCCTTTCATCTAAAAAGAAAAAGAAGAGACTGTTGTGAAATATGATGCATTTTTATACAGCATACCCCTATTGAAGTCACAGGGGAAGAAAGCAGTCTGAAGCTTTTCCTGGGAGATGAGCGAACACATACCGTCGCTCGCTCACTGTCCAATCATCTCCCTGCAGAGAGCGGTGACTGTCAGTCGCCGCTCCCCACAGGGATCCCCCTCGCCTCTCCGATCCTCCAGCGCTGAGTGGAGGAACGGACGGGGAAGGCGCGGGCACTCGCGCAGCTGGGTGGATACAGACACGATTGTCGGGATCCATCCCGGCTGTGGGGCTCTCAGTTTATCGCGGGCAATATACTGTGCTTTGGTTAGCGGGAGGAGGCTACTATATGTCCTCTCGTGACCCTAAGAGAACTCTGTGGAAAAACACTTACCCAATAGTTCTTGTTTAAATCTTAAAAATACACTCAAGTGCCTTAACTATTAACATGTAGCTCATTTGTGTATCACTCGGCTGTAGATCCTCAAATCATCTCTGAATTGGTGCTGACACAGTCCGTCCTTCTGGAGGGTGACAACTTTTGTTCCCCATGGTCCCTGTGTGTGTTGTCACGTAGCCACCACTCCAGTCACCTAGTAAGACTATCAAATCAGTAAACTAAATGTGGTCGTCTATCGCGGGAGAGAGCTTGGAGTGGTGGTTACTATGCAACACGCACACACACAGGGACTGAGGGGAACAAAAGTAGCCACCATCCAGAAGGAAGGACGGGTGAGCATGACATTTAAATAAATCTATGCGGCACTGAATGCTAGCATTACTACAATGAATGTTCCCTTAAAATAAAAGTCAATCTATACCGCACTCTATAACAATATTACCACAATAAACAAACATTAAAAAGTCCCAGAAGTACATAAATATTAATATGAGAATATCCTGCATATATCCAAAAAGCAAAAGCATGAAGTGCTTAAATGCAATCTTAGAGTGTAAATATATGTATAGTTAGAAATGTTACCAGGGATTGCACAATTTCTAGTGCTTCTGTAGGTCTTCCCAGGTGGATTAAGCAGCGTGCCTGGCTTTCCAACACATCCCTTCTCATTGCATTGTTGGCAGCAGGTAGCAGCTCATAGCAACTTCTGTACTCATCAAATGCTTTCTGAAACAGAAGTTTACATAACAGAACAATACAAATGAATTAGACTGTTAAAAAAACAAAAAAATAGCAGAATACCCCTATATTTAGCAATCCCTTCTACTTAAAGTATACAACAAAAAGTGAAATTGAAAAGGAAGTAAACAAGAAAATACATCCCTCATCTTTTTACTTAGCAATATCTTTGTTATAAAGCAAACTATTTAAAAGAAAAACGATCACACATTGCTATACATAAACATCCCCCTTTACTTAGTAATACCTTCTTTGTCAAATTCATGATTTATTTGATTACTGCATTCTTTATGGTTGGGATTTACAACTCCAGTCACATGTTAGACAATGCAGAGGGGATGGAGAATATCAAAAACTGCTGTGCTAATGCTACTGACAGATAGCATCATACACCACATTTTTACTTTGGCCATAGCTCCATTTCGCCCATAGCTGTTTGCCATACATAATCAATAGAAAAGAATATTTAAAAAAGAATAAAAAGTAGCTGCTGTAGAATAACAATTACAGAAGAGAAATATTATCTTATCATAAATGAAAATATCTATTTTGATTGTGTTTTGGAAACAAACCAGAAAGTTTTCCTGTCTGTAGGACAAGTCTGCCCGGAATTTCCGTACTGTATGCTCATCACTGGGGTCATCACCTTTCACATCTTCACAGAACCACTGGAAACATGAAAAAAAGCAGCTCGATCATTTCAATCCACCTTGCTTCAATGTCAAAGTGTAACCTCCCAGCCCTATTGCTCTGAAACTGCATTGTAATGTCTCCACTCTTTTGTAAAGCGCTGAGCAAATTGTCGGCGCTATATAAATCCTGTATAATAATAATAATAACCACATATAAAACACTCCTAGCACCCGTCTGTCCAAGACTGGAAATCTGCCCACTTTAAAGGCTCAGTCACTTTTCATGTTACACCAATATTTAGGGCATTACATAAGACATGGCCACATCCCCAGCCCCCCAACCCCCACCCTCAAACCACCCCAGTTTTTTTTTATTTAGCGGTTATAAAGGGAGGAAGAGGAGTTGTGGAAATTATCCTGGATATGGGCCCAAAAATAAAAAGTAGTCGTGGTGTTCTTAACCACCAAATCTGATGATGTCTCTGCGGTAAGCTGAGAACCTAAAAACATATGTTCAGTGTAGAGCAAAATCAGGTTACCCTTATGAATACTGCTCAGGGTAAAATCTATAAGCAGCACTATACAATAGTGTCCCCCAATAAATGTGATATCTGACCTGAGGCTCACATTGCTTGGCTGTATAAGACACATCCCTCCCCGCACTCCGATCTCTGCTTTCTGAGAACACCGAGTCTTCAAAGGAGAAGTCAAACTCCATCTTCCTTACGGACTACATTCCTCACTGCACCACATTGTCCGCACTCTATAAATTCCGGACGAAAACGTATCCACAAAAAACAGTTCCTACAATCAGGTAGCACGCACTTTCGTTTCCTAGCTCTCTCTGCGCATGCGCCAGATATGTATCTGTGCCACGCATGCGCTGTTGTTGTGGCCGCGCTGAGTAGGACGCATGCGCGGCGGTCAAATGTAGAAAGTTGTAGAGCTGATGGAGGTAATGAAGCGCTCATAGGATCACAGTGCCTGTTATGTAATTCCTTCTAGATGGGATGAATCCAGCGTTAGGTGACTCGGCATCAATCTACTGACGTTTCAGCTTATGCCTCTCTTGTTTTCACATTGGAAGAGACTTCTTCATGAAGGACAGCATGTGATCAGCAGGTGGTGAGCTCTCTTGTTTTCACATTGGAAGAGACTTCTTCATGAAGGACAGCATGTGATCAGCAGGTGGTGAGCTTATTCTGCCCCTGTATAACCCCATAGGGTTGGAGACAGAAATGACAACCTGACAAAAAATAGAATTTCCTGGTCCGTTGTCTAACAGAATCCCCGGTCAGTCCCTGACCATATCCTCCTGGTCCTTCCCAGATCAAACAACCTGCCACCCCAAGAGTCCCACCTCCCAACTAACCACCTTCCGGTCCGTCCGTCCGCCCCTGACCGAACCTTCCTGGTCCATCCCAGACCGAGCCCCCCCCAAAATTCATCCCTGACTGAACCTTCCTGGTCCACCTCACATCAAACCCTCACTGACCTAGCCTGTTCCTGAGCAAACCCTGCCCGTTCCATCCCAGAGTCAGACTGAAACCCAACACCTCCCCTCACCCGGTCCAGACCAAACTCCTCCAGTACATTTCAGATCCAACAACACACCCCCCACCCCCCCCCCCACCCTC